TATTAATAATTCTATTTTCTTGCAGCACAATATTTTTATTTACGTTAATCATGCTGGTAGACAAAAATTTTATGCTAAATCTTTTATCACAAAGCTAGCTTATGCTAAGTAGGTTATGTTTTAAGCCATATAATAGTAAAATATTTTCAATAATGAAACTTTTGGATTTGTTAATTATATCTAATCCAACCACTCTCCTGGTGGTATTATCTCCAAGTGTCATCTTGCCTCCTATCCCGACCTCCAATAAAATAAATTGATTTGCATCTCCAGTCATGTGCCTTGAATATCCACTATCTAGGTACTATATGCTCTCACGAGGCCTTTTATGAGAGCACACATATAAAATTATCAAATGTTAGATTTGGGAACCCAAATAGATTTGGATCTCATCTTATGGAAAGAAGAATAAAATGCATGCATGTTATGCTGTGAATTTTGAAATTTTGATCTCCACACCAAATGAGTTATACGGTGAATGGTGCAAGTGTGGGAGATATGTCCAAATATGCCACAAGAAAATATCTAACACAAGGAAAAAGATTTAACACAAGGAAAAGGATTTACTAATATATTTGAGTTATGGTGCATCTTCTTAGGTTTGAATGATGCATGCTTTGATGATGGTTTTTGTAACTCTTCAAGTGAATGTGATATTTTATTTTCTTTGAAAGTATTTAATTTGATTTTAAAAATTAGTTTGCACTTTCAAGAATTGAATTTTCAATGCATGCTCCCTATCATCAGCTTCATCTAAACATGCATTTATTTTCTTAAATGAATCTTCTAAATTAATATCGGATGCTTTTAAGGAATCATTCTCATCAGTTAATTCAAAATGCTTCTTGTTTAACATATCAAATTTATCTAATAAAACCATGTGATTACTATCCAGAGCGGAATGATCTTTCCTCGGACATTCATGATCTTTTTACAGAATTGAAAAGTCAAGTTTAAGGATGACATGTGATTTTTTAAGCTTCTTATATGTAGTATGAATTTTTTTAAAGAATTCAAAAAAATTATCGTAGTTAAGCTCACATACCTCCTCTTGATCAGAATGATAAAAATGATCATCTACTATTAAGTATAGGTTAGTTACCTTCTTTTCTACTTTAATTTTAGAAGAGTCTAATACTAAGTCTGCCTAGAAAGTTTTTTGAGTCCTTTGCTTACCCTTCTTGAATTTAAATTTTTCGTCACCCTTCTTCTTGCTTGGGTGAGCTTTAAGAGTTAGGTAATCAGACTTCTGGTACCCTGGCTTCATGCATTCAAAGCATATAATATCAGAAAAAAATTTAGAATTTTTATCATTATTATCTTTATTCTATTGCTGATAATATTTTTGCATTTTCTTTAAAAAGTTTTTGAATTGTCTAGTCATCAATTCATTGTCATCATCATTTTGTCCAGAAGAGTCACTGTCATAATCATTAGCCTTTAAGGCTACAATTTTTCTTTTCACTTTTCACCTGCATCAAGCTACTTTTGACTCAGTCCTTGCTCATAGGCAATGAGTGACCCAAGTAAGTTATCAATGGAATAAATATTCAGATCTTTAGATTTAGTAATGATAGTAATTTTTGCATCATAGGAAGAAGGTAAACAACAAAAAATTTTGTTAACTTTATAAGCGCTCTTCCTAAGGCATGTAGGGAAGTAACAATCTGAAAAAATTTAGTATACATTTTAGAAGTATATTCATTAGGTTTCATGCAAAGAAGTTCATAATCATAAAGAAGAATATTTAACCTAGATTATTTCACTTTCTTTGATCATTCATGTTTTATACAAAGTTTATCCCAAATCTTCTTCCTATTAGTGCAAGTGGAAACACACATGTAGTTTTTAGATATTAAAGCAGATAAACAAATTATAGTTCAAACATTTGACATTCAGTTGGACTAAATCTCTATCATCTACTCTCCTTTCAGAAAAGAAAGTTCAATTTTTATGCCATTTACAAAGTTACAAGGTGCAGAATAACTTTCCTAAACTAACATCCGATCCACATGCGATGATCAATTAATTATGAAAAGGTGGACATACAAATTTTATAAAAATCAAAATAAATATTATCAAATAGAGGTGATCGAGTGATATAATATCCTTTCGTAATATCACAATTACCAAAGTTATTCATATATCATTTTTCAAAAGTTTTCTAAAACTTAATTTATGAATCTCTTTTTGATATCACTTGAAAGTTCGTGAGGATTGTTAAACCTTTATGAACTATTCCGAGGCTAATCAAGAGAGGGGGTGAATTAGTTACCTTAAATTTTCTTAAAGCAAAAATAAAAATTTTTGAAATCTTTTAGAATATTTTAAAACAAATAATTTTATCCCATAATGTGGAAGCAAAACTAATTTCACAATAATGAAAATTAGATATTTCAAACATAGAATAAATCACAAAAAATGAGAAAATTAAATGCAGAAAAGTAAATAGAAAGAAAACATCATAATTATGGTGCTTTAGTCAAATTGACCTACATCCACTCCCTAGAAACATCCTTTTCAGGTATTAAATTAAAGTACTGTCTCTTCTACCCCCACAGTAAGACAGAGAAGCCCTTACAAAATCTTTACACTTATCCGGTGAGTTAGAGTACCTTGAATTCTTTTACTCCCTCCTAAAGTAGGTAGAGAACTTGGAAATCCTTTTACTCCCTCCTAGAGTATACATAAAACCTTGGAAATCATTTTATTCCATCCTAGAGTAGGAAGAAAACCTTGGACCTAATGCCGATGAAAGTCTCCCCATAGCCACTAAGGAACTAAGGAAGAAGCCAGAAGAAGACAGTGAAAATCTTGCTTGGAGCAACCTTTATGAATCCCTCATAACTCCCCCTCATAAGGATCTCTCTCTCTCTCTCTCTCTCTCAAAACTCTCTTCTCTTCCTTTTCTAAGCTCTGTCTCAAGTCAAACCAACAGCAAAAGTTCTTCTAATAAGAGTATTAGAAATCCTTAAATAATGGGCATAAAAAAACTAAATTTCAAGAGATTCATCTTCTATTTGTATAGTATGATTCATGTATCATACATTACAATTAGTGTAATTTAGACTCGTTTAGGAAGATTATTTAAACGAACTATTTAACTTGTATAGCATTTTGTATAGTACGATCAAAACATCGTACAATGCGAACTGTAGAAATTCCTTCTATTCATTTGGGACGATCATTGGGATGGCCAACTTCATATAATGTCGATCATCCCGGACTGTGGACATTGTACAATACGATCAATATATAAATCAGGGATTTCATTCGGCACGATCTCTGGGACGGCCAATTTCGTACACAAGTAATCGTACTGTACAAACTATATTGTACAATATGATCGGAGACAATAATTGTCCATGATTTGATTACCAAATATTGGTGGATTAATTAAGAAATATTTTAATTAGGACGTATAATACGAACCAAATCGTACTATATGATCAGTACATAATTAGTATATTTCTTAACCTTTGACGACTATGATTTTGACAGAACACAACAGATCGTACAATATGAATTAAAATCGTACAATATGAAACATGGTCATACAATATGAAGGAATAATTGTATAGTACGATGTACTTTAAAAAAACACTCTAAAAAAGTATTTTTCTCTCTCCACTTGTATGTGTGCAAGGTCACTCAGTAAAGATATCCACCCAATTACATTATATAACTCAAGAAAGAAAAAATACATAATAAAATGAAAGTCGACTGTAACCCTAGTATACCCAATCTTGAGCTGATCAAATTGCAAGTGAACGATTGAGTAATTTTTTGAAACGTTAGTACACACAAAAATCAAACAAAATATCATATAAACAAGATAAAACAGTTACATACACAATAATATTTTTTATCATAAAAAACACAGTGCTTGAATTAGGTTTGCAATAATAAAGACTCAAGAAAAAGAAAATATACTTATTACAAGTTCTTAAGTTCTGTTCTTTGACTTTGCTCATTATATTGTACTTGAAATGTTAGTAACATGAAAAAAAAAAACTATATTGAAGAATAATAAGTGATATCATTAATAATGTTTGAAATTATCAAAACAACATGTCTGACTCACGTATTTTAATAGGTCTCACTGCCATTTTATAAAATTTTCGATGAAGTTTGAGGTGTACTTTTCTATCACACAACAAGCCCAATGTATTCCTTCACTTCAACCATCCAACTTGATTATACTAATAATATCCCCTTTTATTTCATCATTGCTAAGAACAATAAAACCAAGATTTCTAAAACGTGCAACCTTTTTCATAAGTTGATCACCCAAAGTCGCAATCCTACTTCTAGTTCTAATACTTCTAAAATTACACTCTCTCTATATATATATATATTCAATTTTAGATCAACTCAAATAAAAATCTTTAGAATCTTAGGTTGACCTCCATAATAAATGCTTTCCTTCTAGTCCCTAACTTGTTTTATCAATAAGAAGAATATTATCATCAAAAAGTATACACCACGGTACATCCTCTTGCAAATATCTAAAAAAAACATCTATGACTAAAGCAAAAATGATATGGACTTAAAATTGATCCTTGTTGTAATCCTATTGAAAGAGTAAAATATTAGATCAAATTACCTTATATTTAAACATAAATAACAGCTTCTGTATATATATATCTTAATGCGTTGAATATAATAATTATTAATTCATTTCTTTTCTAGAATTCTCTACAGCACTTATACATGCACATAAAAATAACAATATGAAAGTCTTGTTTCCATAGAAATATATAAATAAAAAAAATAAATTATTTTTGTATTTATGTCTCTTTTTTTCTTATTTTTTTTTCTAAAATAAAATCGCTTTTAAAACTTAAGCCTCTGGTTTTAACCTTCGTACATCACCCAGATACCCTGCGCATGAATATGAGCACATAAATGAAGACATCGATCCTGAAAGTGCCAGCTTTTCCCATCAGGAAAGTAGGTTTGGATTGGGATCTCTCTCTCTCTCTTTGCTGATTGTGAGACTGAGTGTGTGTAGCGGGTTGCGGAGAGAGAGAGAGAGAGAGAGAGAGAGAGGAATGCTGAAAGTTATATAACAATGAGGTAACTGAACTCACTGCTCCAAAACCACCTTACATATCTCGACAAAGACACTCACGTATAAACAAAGAATGGATTCATCAATATATAACTCTACTCTTCTTCTCTCCTCTCCGTCGCAAACAATGTCACAGTTCCCTCTTTTCAAGCTTCAATTTTTCACTACCATGGACACGGCAACAAACTTGTTCCATTTCTTGCCTTTCTTGGTTTTGTTGGTATGGATGCTCGTAGACTTACTGAAGCCAAGGAGGGTCTTCCCCGCGCAACAAGAAGCTGGAGTCTTGCCGGAGATTATAGTTCTATTTAACATTCTAATTTTAACACTTTACCTTGGTTCTCTTGCTTTTAAAGTTTGGAAGATTGAAGCCATTCCCATGGACCCTCTCTTCATCTCTCTTTCCTGGATTCTTGTAACTTTTTTCACCATTTACACTAAGAGAAAAGCCAAAACAGAGAGTAGTGGCTGGCCCAATGTTCTTGTGTCTTGGTGGGTTCTTTCCGGAATTTTCCAGTTCTTTTCCATAATCACTTACCTCACCAACCACTTCAAGCTGTCGGCTTTACCCAGCTTCTTTCCAGCTGCTACTGTTGCCGATATTGCGTCTTTTCCTTTATCTGTCTTCCTCTGTATAGGTGCTTTTATTATGAACTTCCGGAGAGTTTCCAGCGGGCTAGAGCAACCTATACTGCTTGATGATTATGAAAATGAAGAAGTCTCGAGACGAGTGTTTTCCATTGCTGGAATCTGGAGCAAGTTAACCTTTCGATGGCTGAATCCCGTCTTTGAAAAGGGTTGGTTACAGAGACTGGAGCTCCACCACGTTCCCCAACTACCCAAATCAGAGACCGCAGAAACTGCATACTCGTTGCTTCAGGAATCGCTCCGCAAAGAAAAACCAGAATTCTCGACGCTTACTAGAGCAATTATGAATTTTATATGGAAACCTCTGGCCATTAATGCTGTTCTTGCTGGTATTCAACTTTCCCTTCTCTCTTAATAATTACAGACCTTTTAAACTAGCATGGTTAATTACGGATGATGCTAAGTGGTAACTAAAATCACGGGTTTAATGCAGGCTTGAACACACTTGCTTCCTATCTGTGTCTTTACCTGATAACAAACTTTGTTGACTATCTATCCAAAGTGGATGAGAAGCGCAGCCATGTCCATGGTTACATGCTTGCATTCATATTCTTCTTTGCCAAAATGGTGGAGTCTCTGTCTCAGAGGCACTGCTACTTTGGAGCTCGCCAAATTGGTGTTCGAGTTCGGGCGGCACTAATGGTGTCCCTTTATAAGAAGGCCCTAACGATCAAGTACTCAAGGATGAGCAGTGCAAAAATGCTAAATTTTCTTGATGTAGATGTGGAAAGGATTGGAGACTTCTTCTGGTACATCAACGGCATTTGGCTGCTACCCGTTCAGGTCAGCCTAGCTCTCGTTATTCTTTACAGGAATCTTGGTGTTGCAGCATCAGTCACCACGCTAGTCACAACAGTAATGATAATGGTGAGCAACACCCCACTAGCCAAATCACAAGAGAAGCTTCACTCCAAGATTTTAGAAGCTAAGGATGCCAGAATCAAGGCAACATCAGAGACATTAAATTGTATTAGGATCCTGAAGCTTCACTCATGGGAGGGTGCTTACTTGAATAAGCTACTTCATCTAAGAGACGTTGAAAGAAGCTGGTTGAAGAGATATCTCTACACTTGCTCTGCCATTGCCTTTCTATTCTGGGCATCACCAACGTTGGTTTCCGTCGTTGCTTTTGGTGTCAGCATCCTTGTCAAAATTCCATTGACACCAGGTACTGTTCTCTCTGCTCTTGCCACATTTAGAATACTTCAGGATCCCATCTACAACCTCCCAGAGCTCGTTTCAATGGTTACTCAGACAAAAGTCTCAGTGGATCGAATTCAGGATTTCATTCGGGATGACCAGAAAGAGAACCCAAAATCAAACTATATCACTGATCACTCAGAAGTGGTGGTCGAGATTGAGCCTGGGGAGTACAGTTGGCAACCAGATTTGAGCTCAAGAAAGCCAGCGGTCAAGTTAGACAGGAAGCTTAAGATAATGAGAGGGGAAAAGATAGCAGTGTGTGGATCAGTTGGATCAGGAAAATCTAGCTTCCTCAGTAGTTTAATAGGAGAGATTCCAAGGCTTTCAGGTGTAGGGAGCAAGGTGTTTGGCTCGAAAGCTTATGTACCTCAGAGCGCTTGGATTCAAACAGGAACAATAATTCAGAATGTTTTGTTTGGAAAGGAGATGGAAAGTTCATGGTATAAAGAAGTGATTGAAGGGTGCGCGTTGGATAGGGACATTAAGTTATGGGCTGATGGGAACTTGACTGTCGTGGGGGAGAGGGGTATGAACCTCAGTGGAGGCCAGAAGCAAAGAATTCAAATGGCAAGAGCTATATACAGCAACTCGAACGTTTTTTTGCTTGATGACCCTTTCAGTGCTGTCGATGCTCACACTGGAGCACATCTATTCAAGGTATGAACAACTAAATCACTTCTAAATTTATATTGTTCTCAAACAGATATATATATACTCTGAAAATTGGATAAAGATACCAGATTATTTGTTATCCAACATCCATGAAAAATATAAAAATTGTTTATTATGAACAGATACCAGTCCCAAATAGGACAAAGGGATGATAGATTGATAGGATCAGAAGTTGAACAAATTTTTTGATTACAATTATGAAAATCTATTCGTTCCATACGGATAAATTATTAGTAATCTTATCCAATCCTTTTATTTTTAAAAATTTGGTGGTATTTGTTTATAATAAATAATTTTATCTTTTCCATTACATTATTTTTTATTTCTCAATTAACAGCTTGTGCATTGTATTATTAATATGGAATTTCAATATGCAGGAATGTCTGACGCAACTACTGTCCTGTAAAACCGTCATCTATGTCACACATCAGTTGGAGTTTTTAGATGCTGCTGACCTTATTCTGGTGAAGTCCAACTCTCTACTGCTCTTATAAATATCAAACATTTGGCAAGTTACAAACGGAGGCTTCGTTTGAGACGGTTTTCTTGATGCTTCTTAAAGTAGCTTTCTAGTATAAAAATTTAAAATTTTGTATTAAAAAATTGCTTTAAAAAGCTATAAGAAAGCTGTCTCAAACGTTTTGCAAGTTACAAACTGAAATTTCATGTTTATAATACATTAGCTACACAACAAATTAAAAATTAAAAATTAAAAAGAAAAACTACTTCATAACAAACATCAAATTATCATTAACATACAAATTACAGAAGCAGTATTGCTTGGAAGTATTTAATTTAAGTAGGAAAGTCGAATATTTTCAGGTAATGAAAGATGGAAAGATCATACAGTCGGGAAAGTATGAAGAGTTGATTGCCAATGTCGATGGTGAGCTTGTGCGACTAATGGCAGCACATAAGAAGTCGCTCTACCAAGTGAGTTCACATAAGAAGCATAATAATGTTGCAACAAGCAAACGGCCTATGAACATAAATGTGGAGCTAACAGAAGAGAAACCATACAGTCAGATTAGAAATAGTGAGCTCTTGGAAAGGATTAATGAGGAAGAAAGGGAATCTGGACGGGTCAAATGCAGCGTTTACAACACATTCGTAACCTTAGCTTATAAGGGAGCTCTAGTTCCAGTAATTCTACTTTGTCAAGTTCTCTTCCAGGGACTGCAGATGGCTAGCAATTACTGGATTGCGTGGGCAACTGACAAGGAAGATAGAATAAGCAGGGGAAGATTGATTGGAATGTTTGTTCTGGTATCTGCTGGTAGCTCTCTTTTTGTGTTGGGGAGGGCAGTATTGCTGGCAACAATAGCAATTGAGACAGCACAAAGTCTTTTCCTTAGAATGACTAAAACACTCTTCCGGGCCTCTATCTTCTTTTTCAATTCAACACCTTCAAGTCGAATCATTAATAGGGTGAGGTTTTTACTTCATGGAAATTAAGACTTCGTTTGGGACGGCTTTTTTACTATTTTTTTAAGCGGCTTTCTAGTAAAATAATAATAATTTTTTACTAGAAAGTCGCTTTAAGAAGCAGTAAAAAAGTCATCCCAAACGAAACCTAAGTCAATGAAACTATTCTCATAAATAACTAATCTTATAGCTGTTTGTTTTTCAGTCTTCTACAGACCAAAGCACAGTGGATACTGACATTCCATACAGACTTGCTGGATTGGTATTTGCACTTGTGCAGCTTCTATGCATCATAGTTCTCATGTCCCAAATTGCCTGGACAGTATTCATTCTTTTTATTTTTGTACTTGTAATCTCCATGTTGTACCAGGTAAGACAATAAATTCTTATCATTTTTTTTTTTGCTCGTCTCAATGCAGAATCCTTAAACGTAGCAAAAAAAAAAGTCAATTCTTTATTTCTTCTGTTCTTTGAAAGTTTAATCAGTTACAAAGTCTATTATCACAAAAGAAAATTGATCAAACTTATATTGCTATGATTTTGACAGAATTACTACATCAGCTCAGCTAGAGAACTGGCAAGAATGGCTGGTATTAGAAAAGCTCCGATTCTTCACCATTTCTCAGAAACTATAGCTGGTGCTCCAACCATCCGATGCTTCAATCAACAGGACCGCTTTCTCGCAAAGAACCTTTATTTGGTTGATGACTATTCTCGCATTACTTTTCACAATTCTGCCGCCATGGAATGGCTCTGCCTTCGAATTAACTTTTTCTTCAACCTTGTTTTCTTCATCGCACTCATGATGTTGGTGTCTATGCCTAGGAGCGCAATTGATCCCAGTAATCTCTATTCTCAGAAAACAAAACATCAAAATAGGAAAATTTTCAATTTGAATTATTGACTCAAAGCTGTTAAATTTCAGGCCTTGCAGGGCTTGCAGTCACCTATGGCTTAAATCTAAATGTACTGCAAGCTTGGGTGATATGGAACCTGTGCAATGTGGAGAACAAGATGATATCCGTAGAGAGAATACTGCAGTTTTGCACCATAACTTGTGAAGCCCCATTGGTTATTGAGAACAACAGACCAGAGCTAGAATGGCCCAGATATGGAACCATAGAGCTTGAAAACCTTCATGTTCAGTATAACACAGGCCTTCCTATGGTCCTAAAAGGCATTAGCTGCGTAATTCCAGGAGAGAAAAAAATTGGAGTTGTTGGCCGAACAGGAAGTGGAAAATCAACACTAATACAAGCTCTTTTCAGAATTGTAGAACCATCTTTAGGGAGAATAATAATTGACGGCATAGATGTTTGCAGTATTGGATTGTATGATTTGAGGTCCCGGCTAAGTATAATTCCACAAGATCCAACATTGTTCCAAGGAACAGTGAGGACAAATTTGGATCCTTTACAAGAGCATTCAGATTTTGAAATCTGGGAGGTAAGAACAAGATTATTTTTTCCATTTGGAGATTCTAACTTGAACTGCTATCACGATTTTTGGATAACTTGCAGGCTCTGCGCAAGTGCCAGCTTGTGGAAATCGTTAAGCAAGACTACAGACTGCTAGATGCGCCAGGTATCATGTCTGACAAAAGCTTTAATATCACAAAATCTTGATTATCTAAGCATTTGTAGAAAACCTATATGTGGTCCCTATCTTTCAATCCATTATGAATCAAAACTAAGGGGCTGTTTGGTATGCGGATTTAGGCCGGATTTGAGGCGGATTTGAGGCGAAATCCAGCCAAATGGCCTAAAATACAAAACCAAATCTCACGGAAAATGAAAGCTGCCGTAGACGGAAAATTCCTCCTTTTCTTCGTAAATCCCGGATTCCCGAAATCCTCTCGTTCGGCGGATTTCCGAAATCCTCTGGCTCTATTGGCGTGGGAAGGATGAAACACCGCCCAAATCTCTCAACCTCCTCAAATCCTGAATGGAATAGCCAAACAGTCACATATGATTTATCATGATGGTTACCAAACAGTTTTTAGGATTTAACCCCCTCAGGATTTGATAATTCCGGATTTAGAGGATTTACGAAATCCTACTTAAATGAAATCCTAGATTTTACAAAACAGCCCCTAAAGGAAAATTATAGAATTTCTGAGAGCATGCTTCTCTTCAGTTGCAGAAGACGGAGAAAATTGGAGTGTGGGGCAGAGACAACTTGCCTGCCTTGTGAGGGTTTTGCTAAAGAATAGAAAGATTCTTGTTTTAGATGAGGCTACAGCATCTGTGGACACTGCAACAGATAATTTTATTCAGAAGACCATAAGAGAAGAAACTGGCCGCTGCACTGTAATCACAGTGGCACACAGAATCCTCACTGTAATTGACAGTGATCTAGTTATGGTGCTCAATGAAGGTATGAAAGAATTAAATTTTAAACTTTAACAAAAATTAACCTGAATTGCTTGATCTAAATCATCTGGGAAATTCTAAACTTAAACTATTTAATATGGAAGTAATGATAAATACAATACAGTAATTGCTGCTTCAAGATAGCTTATGAGAATGATGGAATTTGTGGATAATCAGGAAAAATTTTGGAGTTCGGTTCGCCTAGTGAGCTTCTCAAAGATAAATCATCAGCCTTTTCTCAGCTGGCATTGGAGTTCTTAGGAAGGTCTAAAAGTAACCAGGATGAGTTCACTTGAAAGGATGGAAAAAACAGAAAGCTTCTTGAAGCCATACAATGTTAGTTGAATAAAAAAATCAACAGTATCAAATGCAAAAGAAGAATAGAGGCAAATTATATCAAGACAAGGTCACGGGACAAATCATCACTTGCTTTGGTTGAATTTGTCATTTTGGGCATGCCTTCACTTGTCGCATTAGAATTAACCATGCAATAAATATGTTTTCTTTGAAGAACCTTCCATAAAAGATTTATAGTTTCTATGAAGGATCCATGATTTATTCTGATTACATTTAGGTTACTTTGTTTACTTTTTGTTTATGTCATCACTTGTAAAATCCTCTTATAAATGACATCTATTTGTAATAGACTGGACAATTGACGATCAATATAGTTATTTGCAAATAATTCTCTCTTATAATGGTATGACTAAACACTTCAGTTACACCATCCTCTCTCTCTCTCTCTCTCTCTCTCTCTCCTTTAGATTGCTTCTAAATTATGCTCAATTCATACCTTCCCTTGTGTCAATCAAGCTATTCAATCACAAGCATCTTGTCAGCTCGTATCAAACTTGAATCATTTCGTTGTGATTGTGCCAAGTCATAAATGTTTTTCCTCATTGTCAAAGGATTCATGCAATTGATCCCACATAGTGGGATAAAGTCTTGATATTATTCTTATTATTGATATCAAAGTCATTTGTCTTCTTCGATTTTTTGTGTGACCATAGATGAATTTCTAACTTGTCATTTTACTTTTTTTTAGTTTGAAAATAACTCTATATTTTAAAATAGGCATTATGGTCTTAAACCACCTAATCCTCAAAGGAGGGTAAGATGGTTAAAAGTAAGCAAAAGGGATGAAAAAAGTGAACAAATTTATAATAATGAGAGTGAGCGAAGATAATACTCGAAAAACTTCATCCCTACAAATCCTCTATACCATATTCTTCTCCATTCCCCATTTAGTTATTTCTAGAATTGTCCATACTTAATTAGCCCAAGCCAATTCAATCCATAGCTAGGCAAGTCTGATCCAAGTTCACCAAACCTTAAGATGTTAGGTAAACCCTACCTTTAAAACCCGCCTTTAATATTTTGGGTTTTTTTTCTCATTTCTCGTTGAAGTTTGACGATTTTTTGTTGCTTTTTTCCTTCACTTCATGCTCAATGCGATAATAATTCTGATTATGTACTACTATGATTTTTACAATAACTAAATATTTGTATTTTTTTCTTCCCTTCCCTAGCTATTTTTTATACCCCATTGAAAGTATTTTTATGTCTCTCACTCTTAGAAGCATCCTAACAATATCATCAAATTATTGCATAATTTCAACCTTTTATATGGTTCATGTTATTATAGTAATTCTCTTTTATGATTTTTATAATGATGTTGATAAAAGTGATATAAATTAATAATTATATTATTAGCATTAAGTATTTGGATCTCTATTATCTATTTTATATTCATCCTTATAAAGAAAAAGATCAAAAGTTATGTTCTTCCTACCCCATCATTATACTTACAATGCATTCATGCTACATATCATCATCACAAACATAACATCATCACAAACATTATACTTCATATGAAAAACATCACTCTTCTTGTGCAACACTTTAAATATATATTACTAAAAGTGGGTATGTGCATGCCTCTTGAAGCATTAGAAAGTCTTAGGGAAAAAATTCCATGCACTTTCCTAGTGTACCTAGGACTAAGTGGAAATTGTTTTCACTTATTTATTATAATTAACATATTTAACATGAAGGCATAATTGATTCATGGAAGAAAACCATCACTAAAGAAGAAATTGTGAAATTATTCTTCTATGATAATTGAAAGCAACATGAATTTCCTAAAACTATACTTTTTTTTTTAACAAGGACAACAAAATTTTTAGCCAATTATTGAGAGCAATATAATACATAAAAAAACATATGAAGAAAAGAAGTTTTCTCGTATTTGCATATTTATAGGAGAAATGGGACACTGAGGAGATACACAACCTAGAAAGCTTTAAGAATATTCTATTATAATCTTAAGAGAAATATAATAGCATTATTTAAGTTTTGATAGATTCTTAAATTATTTTTATAATTCTTTATGTTACTCCACTACCCCCATTAAGTTTTTTACACTGTTGTTGAGGAAGAATTTGTTTTATTTATAAATTTACTCTATTGTTGAATCAATTGCATAATTGCTCCTACTATATTATTTTATTTTAATTTATTATTTGATTATTTGTGGGTGCATGCTTATAAGACATAAAGGGGAGGCACACTTAAATTTTTATTTTGAATGGAGTGAACCCTTTCTAAAATTAAAATCAATAAAAAGATTTTTAAAATGATTGACCCTAATCAAAACTTAGATCATTCTAGACATCTTAAGGCTTTTACAAAACCTTCAGTAGATGAAATTCACCAAAGCATAAATAGAACCACCATCCAAGCAAATAATTTAGAATTAAAACCTGCAATCATTCAGATCGTACAAAATTCTCAGTCTGGGGAACTTTCATTGAAGACCCTAACCTACATTTAGAAAGTTTCTTAGAAATTTGTGAAATATTTATATACAATGGTGTTAGTGATGATGCCATTAGACTTGGATTGTTCATATTTTCTCTAAGAGATAAGGCAAAAATGGAATGAGTTGGCTCACAAATTTCTAGGAAAGTATTTTACACCTTCTAAGACTGCTAAGCTTAGATATGATATTACTTCTTTTACTCAATTAGAAGGATAGTCTATTTATGAGTTAGGAGAGATTCAAGGAGATGCTCAGAAAGTGCCCTCACCATGCCTTACCTAATTGGTAGATAATTCAAATTTTTTGTAATGGATTGGTACGATCCCTTAGAGCTATAATTGATGTTGTAACTGGAGGTTCTTTGATGTCAAAGCCATTTGATAATGCTTAAGAATTAATTAAAGAAATGATAACAAATAATTTTCAATGGTCTGCTAATAGAGTGAATCCTAAGAGAGTGGCATGAGTTTATGAGAATGATTCTTTATCTATTTTGACTGAGCGTGTTACTACTATTTCTAAGAAATTGGATGAATTAAAGGTTAATAGTAATCTTACGAGATATAGCGCCACTGCTCTAAGATATGTAGCGCTGTAGCTGTACCCCACTGAATTTGAGCAAATATATCATTGAAGGAATATGAAGGAATCAATGGATAATATTAGTCTCTAGTTAGGAATACAAATGAATAATCAATTTAACGCTATTAAAAATTTTGAAGATAAAATAGGGTAATTGGCTAGGTTTATTCATTGTCAAAACATGGTATAATAATTCCATAATATCCAACATAGTAGTGGGGAAGGGTTAGAAGACCTTATAAAGAGAAAGACCAAACCCAACACAAGGATGAAAGTACTGGGGAACAACAAGAAAATAAGACCCCTCCTGAATAACATGAACCTATTAAAGAACTTAAAAAGGTTTATAAAAAAATTGTTGAGAGGCTGCCACCCCCTTTCTCTAAGAGGTTGATCAAAAGAAATCTTGATAAACAATCCTTAAAGTTCTTAGAAGTGTTAAAAAAATTAACTATTAATATACCTTTCTCTGAAACTTTAGAGCAAATGCCCACTAATGCTAAATTCATGAAGGATATTTTGAGTAATAAAAGGAAGATTTGTGATTATGAAATAGTGGCTATAACCAAAGAATGCAGTGCCATTTTACAAAAGAAAATTCTTGAAAACTTATGAATCCTGGAGTTTTACCATTTGTTTAACTATTGGAGATAAATTATTTGGGAAAGCTTTATGTGACTTAGGATCTAGTATTAACCTCAAGTCTTTATCCATCTTTAAGAGGTTAGATATATAAGAGATTCAACCTACTTATGTTACTCTTTAATTAGTTGACAAATCTTTTATTTATCCAAAAGGAGTAATAGAGGATGTTCTCATCATGGTTGATAAGTTCATTTTCCATATTTATCTTACTATTTTAGACGTAGAAGAAGATAGAACAATACCTCTCATTTTAGGAAGACCTTTCTTAGCAATAAGGAAAGCAATGATTCATGTTCAGAAGGAAGACTTAATTGTGAGGATTCATGACCATAAGGTGATAATTAATATATTAAAATATTTAAAATTTCCTTAAGAAAGAAAAGAAGATTGCTTTAGGGTGGATTTGGAGGATGTATTAGTTAAAGATCTTAAAGAAAAATTATTGCACAAAGTGGTGATTGAGAAAGAAGAAGACGAGAAAGAACAAAATACATCTAATAGGCCCATTGAAATAAAATTTATAAAAATTTTAAATAAATAACATTTTGAATTGTTGGAAACTTCATCTTTAGATAAAACTATGAAACCATCTTTTGAAGAGGCCCCAACTTTAAAACTTAAAGCTTTACCTTGTCATCTTAAGTATGCATATTTGGGCAAAAAATTCACTCTTCTTGTAATCATTTATACAAATCTAGAACAACATCAAGAGATTGTATTGATTAAGATTTAAAGTAACTATAAAAAAAGCTTTTGGCTATATTATTGCTTACAATAAAGGAATTAATCCTTCCATTTGTATGCATAGATTCTTAATGGAAGCAAATTCTATACCTAAAATTGATCATCAAAGAATACTTAATCCTTTTATGAAAGATGTTAAAAAAGATAATCTTAAATGGTTAAATACTAGGATTATCTACCCAATTTTTAATAGTTCTTGGATTAGTCCCTTCATTCTATTAAAGGGAGGATTGGCTATTATATCCGATGAACATAATGAATTAATACCCACTAGAACTATCACAGGTTAAAATATTTGTATTGACTATAGGAAACTAAATAAATCAACCAAAAAAGATCATTTTCCTTTGCCATTTCTTTATCAAATGCTTCATAGGTTGGCAAGGCATCCATTTTATTTCTTTCTAGATACATGTTTTGGTTATCTCAAATGCCTACTAAACCTGAGGATCAAGATAATACAATTTTTACCAGTCCCTACAGCACTTTTTCTTTTAGGAGAGTGTCTTTTAGTTTATGTAATTCTCATGCTATTTTTCAAAGATGCATGATGTCTATTTTTTCAAATATAATTGAGCAGGGTTTTAAAATATTCAAGGATGTTTTTTCTATGTTTGACACCACATTTAATTCATGTCTAGAATAGTTGATTGCTATTTAAAAAAGATTTATTGAAACCAATTTAGTGCTAAATTGAGAAAAATGTCAATTTATGGTAATTGAAGTATTTCCCGAGGGCATAATATATCTATGAAAGGATTAGAAGTAGACATTGCAAAAATGCAGGTGATTAAAAACCTTCCTCCACCTAATTCTATTAAGGGGATTAGAAGCTTCTTAGGAAATGCTGATTTTTATAAAAGATTTCTCAAAATTTTCTAAGCCTTTATGCCATTTGTTAGAGAAAGATTTTCCATTTATATTAAACTATGCATGTCATAAAACTTTCATTACTCTAAAGCATCAATACTCTAAAACTTTCTGATAGAAAGGGTACTTAAAATCAAAATGTTGATCATCTATCTAGACTTGAACAACATGCATTAGTTAAAGTTGAAATTAATGAAAATTACCTCGATGAATAATTATTTGCTCTCTAGTTGAACAAATTTCCATGGTATGCAGATATTGAAAAGTTCATCAGTGTAATAATTATGAATTATCTGTATCTAAAAAAAGTACGTGTGTGTGACATCAAATCTTACTTTTGGGATGAACCCAATTTATTTAAATCTTTCAATAATGAAATCATAAGAAGATGTATTCCAAATAAGCAAATAAAATTCATCAATGACTCCATCTATAAGGGACATTTTTTGGATTTAGAACTGCTTCTAAAATCTTTCGAGCTAGATTTTATTGGCCTACCCTATTCAAAGATGTGAAGGAATATGTAGACAGATGTGATCAATGCCAAAGGGAATGTAGTATAACTAAAAGAAATAAAATGCCAAAGAATTATTTTTTGAAAGTAGAAATATTTGATGTTTGGTTCATGCACCGCTTCCTACCCACCACAACAACTTAGAAAAAATATAAATTTTTTAATGATCCTAACGAGTTTAAATTTATAAAAAAATTATAAAATACAAACAAAAGTGTGTTAGACCCCCAGTGGCTGAGCCAAGATTATTTATTTGCAGGGCGCAAATTTTTAATTTGAAAAATATCATCAAGCCTTTTCATTCGAGCTTTAAATTGATATTAGGGTTTTATTTTTTTTTAAATATCTAACTTAAGGTTTTCATATCAAATTTAAAAAAAAATTAAAAAATATTTTATAACGAACAATAAATATATAAAAAAGTTGCACCGTATTAATATAAAAATATAATTAGCATATTTTATGCTACTTGATTTAAATTTAAATATTATAATCTTTCTTTAGTTTAATTTGTTGGCTTTAATTATATAATTTTACTATAAAAGAGAATTTGGAGCTTTTAAAATAATTTTAAAAAATTGATGAATTTTTTTATTTAAAAAAAACTAGTAATGTAAAGATAAATGATTAAAATGAGAAAATATATCAATAAAGAGAGAATTATACCTTAGAAAAAGGTTTAAGATGGTCTAATAAAAATCAACATAAATAGCTAACCTCACAAAAGAAATAGTGAAAAATAAACAAATAAAGTTTAAAATCATCTCACCCTCAT